CTCTACACTCCAACAACACACAGCCCTCAACTCTTCTAGAAAGTGCCCAGCTCTCTCATCAGACCATTGCACATGCTTTCCACCAACCCAAACTCCTGGTGGACTTCTGCTTATGCTTCAAGACCCAGCTCATTTGCTACCTTCTATGTGAAAGCTCACCTGATCTCTGCCCCCTCCCCCTTGCTCCCACAGTCCTCTGCTGATGCTTCTTCAGTATGCTACTTATTGCGACATTGTAATTGTCTGGGCATGGATTTGGGGGTTATATCTAGATTCGAATCCTAGCTCTTCGGCTTTCTACTGTGTGGCTTTTAACAAGTTATATTAACTTCTTTGGGCCTCAGTCTTATGATCTGCAAAATATGGCTATTAAGACCTATCACAGGATTGTTGGGAGGTCTGTGTGTAATTTAAGTGTGTCAAAGGTCTTACTTAGCACAGTGCCTAGGACACAGTAAGTACTGAATAAATTTTAGCTTTTCTTTTCTTTCTTCTCCTCTTGACCTTGAGCTCACAGGGATCAGGAACATGACTTGAATATCTTGGTAACCCAAGTGCCTAACTTGTGTCTATAGTGTGGTTCCAATATTTTATGTTGTTGATGAAAACACAACCCAGTGGATAGTAGGAGATCAGTGCCTGTTTGGTTGAATGGTGTGGTGGTTTGAATTATTGGTCCCAAATTTTTACACCCCTGTAGCAGACATCCATACCTTTGCCATGGCTTCATGATGGACAGAGTGAAATTCTCCATTTCTTGACTCTGGGATTGTCCACCTAACTTTTTGGCCATTGGGAAGTTAGAGGATGTGATTCAAGAAGAGGCTTGAAATGTCTTGGGTGACTGGGTTTACCCTCTTTTGTGCTTCCTCCATTGCCATAAGGAAGACATGCCCCAGAGGCTGGTCCCAGAAGAGTGAGAACTATGTGAAACAGACCTGAATCTAATCCATGGCCTGGAGTCAAACCTAGCTGAACCTAGTCTAGAACAGCCAAACTCTAGCCACTCTCTTATCTACTAAGTTATATGGTGGTCTTTTACATAGGAAAAGCTGGAGTTACACATGCTCTGAAAGAGGAAAAGAACTGATTACTACCGTCTAGCTTTTGTGGTCTGGTTTTAAGGACTAGTCATACAAAAATGAAACAATACATCATGGGGAAAATTTAGGGAGCGGCTTTGCTGAAATATGGGAGTGAGGTTGATGATGAAAAAAATACGTTGAAACTCAAGTCATATGAAGGGTTATGGCTGAGCTCTTCTGTTTGAATTTTATATCCAGACCTGAATGAAGAAAAGTCCTCTAACAGCCGGAGTAAGGAGGGGCCCTCGTCTAATCGCCCATTTCATGGGCATGGACTCTTAGAATCCTCTCACTGGGAGAGATTTCCAGAGTTCATCTGGCCCAGCTTCTTGTCCGCTGCACAAATGTATTCTGTGGCATCCTGATGGAAGCTGATCCAAATTTAGTCACTTACGTGCTGTGTGATCTTAGATAACTACAAAAAAATGTTGGAGTCAGACAGACTTGGTTTTAAATCCTAGCATTGTGACCTTAAGAATTTACTCATTTTTGGATCTTTCATCTCCACTTGAAAATAGAGATAATGAGAATGCCTACCTCACAGAGCTATTGGGAGAGTTAACTAGACAAAAAATGGCACATTCATCACAGCACCTGGCATCAAATGCAATGGCTCCCTTCCTGCTTTGGACCAGAACAGAATACACCAACCCTCTGCTATACGAAAGCCTTCTGACATCTCTATAAAGAGGGGGTGGGGGAGAACCAAGCTGAGCTCCAACTGGGCCCTACCGTGGTCCAATCCAGATGCTGAGCCTGCTGGCCTGAATCAGTTGTCTCCTTCCCAACTCACTTGATGGGGCATTTCAATTTTAAATTGTCAATTGTCAGCACATTTGAATGTCCTGGGACTAGCAAAACATCAGAGGCAATTATTGACTGTTTCATTGATTTAATCAGATAGTTTTGCACAAATTGTAATCCATAAAATTCCGGGCTTCTTGCAGTCATCCATAAGCAGAGTTCCATTGTAACTTAAAATGGAAATTACCCGTCATCCCTATAAGGTGGGATCTAGAAAAGCAGAGATGGGTCAGTGTGAGCTACGATGCATGTAGAAAATGGGGGAGGGGATGGTTCAGAGACCAGAGAGCAAGTTCTAAATGAGTTGGACTGTGCATCTGAATGAGAAGAGAAGACAGAACAGGAGGTTGGGGGCAGGTCAGGAACACCTTGAATAACAAGGAGTTTGACCTTTGTAGGCATTAGGAAACCATTGAAAGTTTTTGAGGAAGAAAATGACATGGCCAGAGCTTTGCTTCAGGGAGATAACTCTGGCAAGAAGGAGGGAATGGATTGGTTTGGTGGGGGCGGTAAAACTAGAGATGGAAGAATATTTAGGAGTCTATTGCAAGAGTCAACTGGACAAGAGGTGATAAAAGTTGTGCTTGGGTCCTGGAAAGTAGAGAACAAATATGAGACATATTGCAGTGAAAAATCTACAGGGCTTATTGACTGACCAGGAAAGGCAAAGAGAGAGGGAAAGATGACTCAGGTTTTAAGCCCAGGGAAAGTGACTGAGTTATCTAATTTAACATGCAGGATGTGGAGCATACCTAGCGTCACTAGGTTTTTCTCATTTATGCTTAATGCGTATATATGTGTATATATAGTTCCATGTATATATAGAACAGTATAAAATAAATCAATAGCCCGTTATACACACACACACACACACACACACACACACACACACTCTATTCCAATTCAATATTCATTTGCTTTAAGTGTATGTAATTATGGATATTGTGAAATCAGGGTATAAGGCTTTCTAACTTCATCTGAGAAATTACAGTTTTCATACTGACAGTGTAGGGATTATATTTTAGGATTTTGAAACTATTGTTAGTCCTACTGATAATAGTAGCTGCAGTTGACTGAGTACTTATGTGCCAATGCTTTTCACACATCACTTCACTTGTCCTTGCAACAGTCTGTGAAATGGACTCTGTTAAGGGTCTCCCCAAGCCACACCCAACTCCATCTCTCCTTGCTTCCCACAGTAAAGGCTGGCCTCCTTTGCAATAGGGGTAGCCACATAACGCAGGTCTACACAAGGAAAACGTAAATGACATCTGCTTGGAGTGTTCTAGGTCAGACAGTGGCCTCCTGATAGCAGTATAAAAGGAGACTGAGTTGGCACTTCCTCTGTCCCCATATTACCAGCTTGAACATGGTATATATGCTTAAAACAGACAGCCATTTGTGACCATAGGTGACACACATGTAGATGAAAAGCAGTGGCTCAGGAGATCAGAAGACAAAACTGTGTGACCTCAGTGGTACTGTTGAGCCACCAACCAGCCTTGGAACCACTATATCTAGGCTTCTTGATAAGTGAGACAATAGATACCTACAATGTTCAAGCCACCATTGGTTGTTTTTCTATTATTTACAGACATATGCACCCTGATGTTCAGTACTTGTCTGGGCCCAAGCCAGGAAATGGTGGAGCTGGAAATCAAACCCAGGTCCTTCTGACTCCAAAGCAATACTATTAGCTGTCACACATCCTCCCTTCCAATACCCATACGGAACAATGTGAAGGGCTTATTTTGTTGTATGTGATGGATGCATCTGCCGTCTTTTCCATGGTCTTCATTGCTTACTTCTTCCTCCACAGTTTTCGCTGTCTCTTAAGTGTCAGACACTGAGTGAAACCATAGGAGTTAGCAAGATGATTATGATTGAATCCCTGTCCTCAAGTTCATGATATAGAGGAAGGGTTGGCAAGCTATGGCCCACGGGCCCATTTTGGCCCACTCCCTGTTTCTTATACAACCTGCAAGCTAGGAATGGTTTTTATATTGTCAAATGGTTGAAAGAAAATCAAAAGAAGAGTATTTCATGACCTGTAAAAATTACATGAAACTCAAATTCAAGTTTAGTGTTCATAAATACAATTATATTAAAATACAGCCAGGCCCATTTGTTTAGGTATTACCTACGGCTTCAACGGCAGAGTTGAATAGTTGCAACAGAGATCATATGGCCTGCAAAACCTAAAATATTTAGTACCTGGCCCTTTACAGAAAAACTTTGCTGATCCTTGGTCTGGAGGAGTGGGGGCATCTAGAGAGGGATTAGGTAAATGAACAACTCATTCCAGGTAAGGGAAAGGGAAGAGATGTATACTTGAAGTACTTAGAAAAATTTCCCAAAGTAACAGAGGAATCCAAAGCTCTGAGTCTTATTGCTAGACTTTTCCCATTTAAAGATAGATTCTAAAAGAGGTTGGAGGTGGGGGTGGACCAGGATGTCTGTCAGGGTAACTTACCTTTGTCTAATGTCTTTTGTTACTTGTCATTCCTTAGACACAGGACCCTGTGCTCCAGTAGGTTTGAACTCCACCCAAATGGAGAGAACGATGATGAATTCTTTTAATACACACTATAAAATTACCTTGGAAAAAATTAATTGACCTTTTCATTAAGGCCCTCAGAGCCTCCACATATTGGCTTTTGCCTGAAACTCTTACGCTGGAGATTTTTGTGAGCACGTGAGCCATTCCTCTTGAATCCTAGCTCCTGTCAAGCAGGTCCTGCTATCCTCAGGGACACCACATACCTTGGACACATCCCTGCGTTGGTGGAAAAAGACCTTTCCATGAACCTAACTCTAAAAATCAATAGAACTGTTTAATTTTCTTTCGTTTTTTTCCTCAAAGAAAGTGGCAGGACATCTCTTGCAATAATAATGGTGCTTGTTGTTGGCACGTAATCACACAACTGGTCACTTTTCTGTCCATTTTGATTCTGACTCTGAAAATAGCCGTGACCCAAATAATTTGATCATAATGAAAACTGGTGAAACTATGTAAAAGTACACTTCTGATGTACTAACAAAAGAGACTTTTGAGCTCAATGAACTCATACCCTTTTCGTCTTTATTTTACAGATAAGGACACTGAACTTAGTGAGAAAGGCAGCTAATCAGTGGCAGATCATGTATGCTTTCCAGTTATCATGAAAATGAAGACCGAGGCTACCTGGCACCTTCGTCAATCACATGTGTGGTTTAGAGGCGGGGTGAGTCTATAATTTGTTATCAAAACTGAAATACTTTGGCTCAACAGGCATAAAGCAAAACTGTTCACCAAGACCAACAGTCACCCTATATGTAGGTAAGGCAGGTGCAGTAGGTCATGTAGACCTTTGGACTCATTCTTTTTTTTTTAATTTTTATTTTATATTGGAGTATAGTTGATTTACAATGTTGTGTTCATTGCAGGTGTATAGCAAAGTGATTCAATTATGTATATACATATATCCATTCTTTTTCAGATTCTTTTCCCGTATAGGTTATTACAGAATATTGAGTAGAGTTCCCTGTGCTATACAGTAGGTCCTTGTTGATTATCTATTTTACGTATAATAGTGTGTATGTGTTAATCCCAAACTCCTAATTTATCCCTCCCCTCACCTTTCCCCTTTGGTAAACATAAGTTTGTTTTCAAAGTCTGTAAGTCTGTTTCTGTTTTGTAAATTAGTTCATTTGTATCATATTTTTTAGATTCTACATATAAGTGATATATTAGTCTTTCTCTCTCTTAGTATGATAATCTCTAGGTCCATCCATGTTGCTGCAAATGGCATTATTTCATTCTTTTTTATGGCTGAGTGATATTCCATTGTATATATGTACCACATCTTCTTTATCCATTCCTCTGTTGATGGACATTTAGGTTGCTTCCGTGTCTTGGCTATTGTAAATAGTGCTGCAGTGAACCCTGGGGTGCATGTATCTTTTCAAATAATGTTTTTCTCCAGATATATGCCCAGGAGTAGGATTGCCGGATCGTATGGCAACTCTATTTTTAGTTTTTTAAGGAACCTCCATACTGTTCTCCATAGTGATTGTACCAATTTACATTCCCACCAATAGGAGGAGGGTTCCCTTTTCTCCACACCCTTTCCAGCATTTATTGTTTGTGGACTCATTCTGATAATCAGGTGTGTCTCTAAAATTTACATCTGTTTCCTGACTTGTATCTCTAGTCCTTTGGATCTTGTAACCTTTGCACTCGATGAGGGCCAGGCCCCTGGAACAGCTTCTTAGTAGAGATCCAGTCCTGGTTTCTCCCACTGATTACTGGTTTTATGTGTATCCAGAGCTTGGGCAATGGAGAAATCAGGAGCTGGATCAAAGAGGAGAATGTGGGTGTGACAGGTGCTCCTACAATGACACAACGATTCTCTCTTTCCAAGGTTCAGATTCCTGTCTTCATGTCCAGGGAGAATGTTTTCAAACAGGACTAGTGGTTGGTTCTAGACAAACCAGCATAGGATATCCAGGCAGAGGAAGAAAGAGAATGAAGATTTTTTTCTTGACATTGAGTGTGTGTTTTGTTGGGTTTTGTTTTTAGAAAAGAGTAGCAGTTAATCAATGCTTACTGATTATCAATGGTGGCCTCATCTCTGGGCTATGTGGAAAAGCTAAGAAACATGACAGGGAAAGGAAGAGAAAATACAATTATTCCATTATTGCTTATGGTGAAGAACTAATTAAGGAAATAGAGAGCTAAGGGCATTAAAATAATACTGTACTTGTAAAGGCAGCTGTTAGAACAAAAATACAAATCTTCCTAAATATCAGAATAAGAAGACACAAAATAGCTATAGACTACATAATGAAAGATTTAAAAAAATAGAACTATTCAACAGCAACATAGTGCAAATAATATGATAGTACAAAGACCAAGCATATTTGACCTGTTAGAGTAATTTTTAAAAATATATTTATTTATTTATTTTTATTTTTGGCTGCGTTGGGTCTTCATTTCTGTGCGTGGGCTTTCTCTACTTGTGGAGAACGGGGGCTACACTTCATTGCGGTGCGCAGGCTTCTCAATGCGGTGGCTCCTCTTGTTGCAGAGCTTGGGCTCTAGGCACGTGGGCTTCAGTAGTTGTGGCGCATGGGCTTTGTTGCTTTGCAGCATGTGGGATCTTCCCAGATCAGGGCTTGAACCCGTGTCCACTGCACTGGCAGGCAGATTCTTTTTTTTTACCTTTTTTTGTTTTCCCCATTTTAAAGCCTTTTTTTTTAACATCTTTATTGGAGTATAATTGCTTTACAATGGTGTGTACGTATAATTTATAACAAAGTGAATTATAAATATAATTTATAACAAAGTGAAAGTGCTTTATAACAAAGTGAATCAGCTATACATATACATATGTTCCCATATCTCTTCCCTCTTGTGTCTCCCTGCCTCCTACCCTCCCTATCTCACCCCTCTAGGTGGCACAAAGCACCGAGCTGATCTCCTTGTGCTATGTGGCTGCTTCCCACTAGCTATTGGTTTTACATTTGGTAGTGTATATATGTACATGCCACTCTCTCACTTTGTCCCAGCTTACCCCTCCCCTACCCGTGTCCTCAAGTCCATTCTCTAGTAGGTCTGTGTCTTTATTCCCATCCTGTGCCTATTTTCTTCATGACCATTTTTTTTTTTTTTTAGATTCCATATATATGTGTTAGCATACGGTATTTGTTTTTCTCTTTCTGACTTACTTCATTCTGTATGACAGACTCCGGGTCCATCCACATCACTACAAATAACTCAATTTCATTTCCTTTTATGGCTGAGTAATATTCCATTGTATATATGTGCCACATCTTCTTTATCCATCTGTCAATGGACACTTAGGTTGCTTCCATGTCCTGGCTATTGTACATAG